AAAATATTTTAATAATTTTATAAATAAAATTATACTTTTAATATACAGTTTTCAATAAAACTTAAATTCAATAGACAATTAAGGCTAGCTTGAGGTTTTTTGGTCCTTTCTTCTGCTTAGATTTCATTTATAAAATTATAATTAATGTCTTATTGCATTCAGTATCCTTCATCTATTACAGTGAATAGTGACCAATTTTTACAAGGTCTGTCTTGGAGAAACAATTCCATATGTGTAAGCAGCGAGCAAAATCCTCCGGTGATCAACCAGACCACAGCCGGACCAACAAAGCAGATCAGGCAATAACAATCAGGTCAACGCCAACCAGCAGATGGATCCTCCGCAATTTCTAGCACTGAAAATGCTACACCAGACCCACGTGCCAGAAAGAGCCCGATAGAAGATACAGGGTGAGAGGTAGGTGCATTAAGTGGGAAGAAAATTGATCTAGCTAGCAACCCCTTGAAATTTTACGTAAGATACTGTTACTATGTCCAAATTGCTATATACCTCCACTATTTTTTTATTTACACTCATAATTTTGTAGGTATAACTATCTATACCTATTATTTATTTAGTTGTGTGTATATAATTTAAATATACCTATATATTTTAAAGAATTGTAGGAATAATATGATTTTACCCACGAAAATAACTTAATGTAGGTATAAAAAAAAAAAACCTTATAACTTAATGTAGGTATTTATACCTACTATCTATACCTACTATTTATTTAGTTTTGGGTAGTTTAAATAAGAGGGTGAGAGAAGGGTGGGAACTAAGAAATGGAATGACTTGATTATGTATGATCATTGTGGTTAATTAGGAATAATGTATATACATATATATTTATAAGTAACATGGTTGTTAGAGTTTGGTTTAAATATCATTTTAGTCCCTCAACTTTTTCCTTTTGCACCAAAATTGTCCTTTAACTTTAAAAAGTATTAAAGTTACCTTTAAACTTTCATTTTGGGTACTAAAATAGTCTTTCCGTCAGTTAAATGAACATGTGTCACGTTAAATTGCCACAACATCAATCCCTATATATATTTTTTAAATGATGTGTAAACTAAAATAATTTTTTATTTATGACTTGGCATATTTATCATTATTTTACAAATTTTCAACCAAAAAAAAAAATTCATCTTCTTCCTCCTTTCCTCTCTTAATCCTTTGACAGTTGCCTTCTCATTTCTCTATTAACTTGCCTCATTCCTTTTCTTGCTCATCCTTCTTCTTTCTTCTTCTTATTCTTTCTCTCTTTCTTCTCCCTTCTTCTTCCTCTCCAAATCTGGGTTTTCCTCAAACCCAGATCTGGGTTCTCAAACCAACCCAGTCTCTATTCCAAAACTCATTGTTGATCCCACGAATCTCTTTTTCCTAGAGGAATTGGTTTCTGCAATTCTTCCAACCAAAAAAGAAAGGCACCTGCATGAGTTTCTCTTCTTCAGGGAGACCAAGAATGAATAGAAACTCTCTCTCTTCTCCCTTTTTCTTCCTCTCCAAATCTGGATTTTTCTCAAACCCAAATCTGGGTTCTCAAACCAAACTTGCTAGCCCCGATGGTACCACACAACACACCAACTCCTTATCTAATCGTGGTTCATCTCACTCCTTCACCACCAGAATCCTCCCAAGTGACAAGATGTGTCTAGAAACTCCTTCATTTCCCACCAAAACTAGTTGTTTTTTCAAATTCTAGGTTTTTGGAATTTTTGCTTGCTTGTTTGTTTTCCCCTTTTCTTTCGACTCATACTTCCCAAATGTGAACCCAGCGAGTTCTGCGCTTCTAGTCAAGCTTAAGTAAGGGAAACTGTGCTATGATGGTGATCGACTTATCCTACGCGTCGGTTTAGCCACAGGGTAGCCATGATTGCTGATGGTTCATGGTATTCGTAACCGACAAGAGAACCCAGATATGAAGAGGAAGGAGAAATGGGATTTCTCAAGATTGTACAAAAGAAAGTTCGAACATTTCTGGATGAAGCTTTAGATTTGGGTTTGCGAGGACCCATGATTGCTCAAGAAGTCAATGAGCAATTCTGGAGCCTTATGGGTTTCAAATTGAACCCTTTTGGAAAGCAAAAAAGCAGATTGGGGAGAAAACCCACATGAATTCATGAGATAGGAGATCCTAAATGAGTGTTTATCTGTTGCATAATCTGATCGAAAATGGTGTTTGCAGGTGGGTTTGAAGAAATCTGGGGCTATTCAAGATTGCGAGGGATTTAGGAAAGTCTCTGAGGAACAACATTAGTGTTTAGCAATGAGAAGAGACATCTTCAATCATGAGTAGGTCAACCTAGAAGAAAGAGGAAGGATGAGTAGGGAAAGGAAGGAGGAAGAAGATGAAGTTTATTCCATATCATAAATAAAAAAAATATTTTAATTTACACGTCATTTAAAAAATATATAAAGATTAATATTCTGATAATTTAATGTGTTACTTGTCTATTTAACTAATGGAATGACTGTTTTGGTATCAAAAATTAAAGTTGAGGGATAACTTTAGTACCTTTTAAAGTTGAAAGACAATTTTGGTGCCAAAGTAAAAAGTTGAGGAATCAAAATGGTATTTAAACTTTAGAGTTTTAGAGTACATTTTGTACTCCAAATATTAATAAAATCAACTTTTATTGTTTAAAATAAATTAATAACCATAATTTCATACAAGTATATAATATATTATTTTTTATGTTTACTTAATGAGTTCTTTTTTTATTTTTATTTTTATTTGATAGATATTTTACTCTTCTATTGGTATATGAGCAAAATTGTAAAATAAAAAAATCTCATATCACCTAAAAATAAAAAATAAGCTTATTAACGCTTTATATAAGAAATGCCTAGATCCTGCATTGGTTAAAAACAAAAAATATAGCATTTAAATACCTTATATAAAAAAAGATTTAAAATATATTAGTCAAAATTTTAAAGTCTTGTAGTATTTGACTTGGGCTAAATAATTTTATTATTGGCCTTTAATCATTTTATTATAATAATTATTATTATTATTTAAAATAATAATAATAAATTTTATATTAAAAATTGTATTGAAATTTTTTAAAATTTCATTTTCATTTTTGTTACAACTTATGATGTTGTTATATTATATATTTGGCAATGATAAATACCATTATAATATATTAGTTTTAAGCACAAATAAAGTTGTTATAATATGCACTCTTTTGCGTCAACTTATGATGTTGTTATAGTATATATTTGGCAATGATAAATATCATTATAATATATTAGTTTTAAGCACAAATAAAGTTGTTATAACATGCACTCTTTTGCGTAAACTTTTGTGGTTTTTTAATAATATATTTAGTAATGAGTAATATTGTTGTAAAATATTATTTTACATACAATAAGGTTACTATGATATAAACTTTTTTTATTATAACTTATAGTATTATTAGATAATATATTTAGCAATAATAACTCTTGATGCTAAATGATGATATCAAAACTATTATTTTGTCGTTGTCGTTAGTTTTTATCTACAATTAATAAGCATAGGTATTTTTATTTACCTACAATTTTCTAAATATAGGTATAGGTTCTCTAAAACCTTTACCTATGAATTTAAAAACAGTGACAATATTATTGTAAATGTAGCTAGTTATCTTTAACTACATAATACATTAACTATGTTATCTAATGTGTAATTATAGTATTTAAGAGGGTTATACCTATGTTTTTTGAAGTTTTAGTTACAGTTTTTGTGTATAAGTAAATGGCAATTTGGATGTAGTGTATCTTGAGTTGGTTA